GGGTAATGTTAGAACGGGGCGGAAACGGACGACTCCGGAGTGGAATCGGAGACTTAGCGTGGAGGGACCTTGGCCTCAGCGACTCAAGTGGAGCGCTGTGCCATTGCTGTTTGTCCATTTGGTCCTTAATTTCACAGTAGGTGAGCAGGAAGTCTCTTGGGGGCATTTCAGGTCGATTTCGGACTGAAACCAAGACAAGTATGTACAAGTGCCGATATATATAATGGAAGGGGCAAAAGCACAAAGAGAACAAAGGGTGACCGAATCGGAATGAAGACGTCTGAACGGGAACAAAGGGTGGGGGGAGCGGAGCGGTACCGAAGGTCATAGGGCAAGACCTGTGATACGTCCGAAAGGAGGTAGAGAGGGCGAGGCCCAGAGGGGCAGGAGGATGAGGGGAAGTGGGGATGATGACTAACTGGCTAGAATAGAAAGAAGCAGTAGTCCAAATAGGGATGAAGGGAAAACGCGAGAAATACATTACAGGCGGCGAGAGTGCCAAAGGCGGTCCGCGAAGCTCGGGGGTTGCGGAGCTTACGGAGGTTACGGAAGCGGGGTTGGAAGTCCGAGGAATATTGGCAATGGTGTTGACGTAGTATGAGGTCACCAATGCAATGGACTAAGGCCGAGGTGGAGTCAAAGTCCGAGGTAGGGACTATGACGGAGGCTCGGTGTAAGGTACGAGCGGTGTCCGAGTGCGAAGTACGGAACAGCGGTGGAAGGTCGTAACTTGGCGGAAGGGTGGCGGAGGAGTAGCGGAGGGAGGAGAGAGGGGACAGGTAAGGGGAGAAGGAGTGGCGGAAAGGAGAGTAGTCAGGTCCGAAGGTGAGTATCGGAGCGGACGGGGGAAGCGTAGGAGGATAATGGGAGGGTGGAGGTGTTGTGAAGGGGGAGCGGAGTAGTAGGAGCGTGGCGAGAGGTAAGGAGGAGGTGTGTTGCCAGGACTGAAGGTGAGTATCGGAACGGCAGCGGTAGGTTATGACTCCGGAGTGAAGAGGGTGGAGGTCCGGAAGTCGGGTCGGGGTCGGGTATGCACGGATATGACAGGTAAACTCTAGTCGATTTTATTACTGAAGTGTAACCTATGTACAAGTTGGATATATATATAGTTACAGCGAAGATGGGTCTGCAAATGGTGGAGCAGAGCTAACGGGGTTAAACATTAGCCGACTGAATATTACCGACGAGTCAGGTTACGGGGTTAACGGAAAGGCAGGCGATAACCCAGAAATGGAAAGGAGGGATAGGCCCAAAGGTGGGCTCTGCAGGGCAGGCGAGTGTATTGCCCAGCGGAGGTGGGAGTGCGCTAGCGGACGTCGGAGCTGTCCGGAAGTCTTTGGGGCTCCGTACTTAGGGAGGTGTAGGTAATAAATTGAAAGGAGGGGGTGGTGACCATCAAGGGGTACCGAGGGGATTGCGGAATACGGGAGCTCCGAGGTTAGTGAAGAAGGAGTGGAGGTAGACCAGAGGGATCGGAGGTACCGGAAGTCGTTGGCCAGGGATGGATATGACACAGCTGATGTTTACAGTCTGATCCTAAAATTCTTGTCTGAAGCAGATATTGACATTGATGAATTGTTGCCTGACCAAGTACCATGTTATTGGGAACAAGCAACTGCTGTGGCATGCAATCCCTTTTTAGCAGCATGTTTTTTCAAACTTGTGATCGATGCATTTATCTCTGCAATTTTGGTCCACACTAATGCAGATGAAATATGTGAAGATGGTATACTAGGGCCCTGTAGTGCTTATTATGGGACTGTAGAATCACAAGGCAGGGGTAGTCTACACTGTCATATGCTCATATGGATTGAAGGGGCACTGAATCCACAAGAAATAAAGGATCGGGTTCTCAAGGACCATGACTTTGCTTGGTGTGTGTCAGGGGACGACTCCCGGGTCCCCATGACCCTCCCCTATGGCCCACAGCCTCAGGTCTGGCCAGCCCTATCCAGGGCACAATCCTACTGTGGGTAAGAAGATGAGAGGGAAGCTAACTTCTCATCTTCCCACAGTGGCCACCATATCAGGAAAACTTCCAGGGATACCCGGAAGTCACATGAAGGAGTAGGAACCGGGCCCGGAGCATGCGGCACGCGGAGCGTGCACGCATGCGGGAAGCACAGCGGGTGGAAGCGGGTCCGGACGCGGGTCCGGGTCCGGGCTAGTCAGGGTGTGTGCCCTGACAGTGTGATAACTCGAGTTCTTGGATGACACAATTGCAAATGTTCTTCCCCAAGGCCATGCTGAGTCACATTGTTTATCTGATTCTTTTCATCTATGTAGTGTGCGTTGCCATCCTGAAACCCACACTGCTTTTGAGTGTGAACAAGATCTGTATAATCTTGTTAAGTCTTGCCAGGTGCATAAACATACTGCGACTTGCTACAAATATGGTGACACTGACTGCCGCTTCAACCGATCTTCAGATAGAACCTGTGCATCCAGCTCCATGGACATGGAGACTGGTGAGCTCAATTTACGAATTTCTGATGGCCTGATTAACAATTATTGTGAGACTATAATTAAAGCAGTCAGATGCAACATGGACATCAAATTTATTGGCTCAGGTGTCTCTGCAAAAGCCATTCTGTACTACATCACAGATTATATTACCAAGTCCCCACTGAAGACCCATGTGGCCTATGCTGCTCTCCAGGCTGCAGTTTCCCAATTGCAAAAAGTTACAACAAGGAAAGAAATGGCCTCCACAGAGCTCGCTAAAAGCACTTTGATCAAATGTGCCAATGCTCTTATTGCCAAGCAAGAGCTAGCAGCCCCACAGGTGGCTTCGTACTTACTTGGGTATGAGGACTTCTTCACCAGTCACAAGTTCCACAGCTTGGCATGGACTCCATTGGTGTCTTATGTGCAACAGATCATTCCCAGTTCTGATGTGGACAGTGGTGAGAATGGGTCTACAGCTGATCGCACCTGCATTCTGACAATGAATCCTGCATCCAGTGAAATCAATCACCCACCAACTCAATTGATGGACTACCTTGCTCGAGATGACTCAGTCCTTTTTAGGGAAATGAATGTTTGGGACTTTGTGTCCTGGGTTGACAAAGTGAGCATTCGTGGACGTTCCTCAGCAGAAGAAATGAATGAAGAGGAGACACAGCCTGTGGATGGTGGGGCTCATCGCCTACCATGTTCACACCTTAATCAGAGCCATCCACATCATACCACTCACTTTCTTCGAAAGCGACAGCATCAGCTCATTCCAGTTCCAGTTGGCCCTGGGCTACCACATCATGACAATGTTGCAAATTTTGAACATTACTCATGTGTTATGCTGACTTTATTCAAACCATGGCATTCCCCACTGGATCTGTTGGGACATGCTTCTTCTTGGTCTGCAGCCTTTGAGGATTTTTTCTCATCTGCTTCTACTCAACTGCATGACTTAATCAACAACATTCAGGTTCTGCATGAGTGCAAGGACAGTCAGGATTTGGACTATGCAAAGCAGTCATCCAGATCTCGTCCCAGTGTTGTGCTTTCAAACCCTGGACTTTTTGTGGCTGAGGGATCTCTGAATATGGGTACAGATGAAGATGAGTCTATTCTACAACAATTACTTAATAATGACAATAATGTCATTAGCAAGAAGAGTGTGGACTTGGATGCACATAGTGCTGTACATCATGCCATCAAAGGTGGTCTTTTTATAGACGAAGTTTCTGAGGAGGTGATCTCTGACTCCCTTGCTTTTATGTCAGACTCCTCACTGCCCACTAGCAGTAATAGCTTTGCACAACATATCATGGATCATGGTGCATTAGAGTTGTTGTGGGTGGACAATTACAAATCTCATAAGCAGGCAGCTAAAGATGCATTGAAATTGAGACTGCAGGGGTTCAGTTCCCCAACTGTTCCTACACAATTGGATTTCACTGCATCTCCCCAAGCCACTTTAATCAACAATGATGCTTACTTGGACAATGCAGTGCTGGATTTCCAAGCTGATATTGCCTCTCATGCTTCCAAGACCCCTGGCCTTGCTGTTGCAGAGAAGCTTCAATTGGTGTCATCACAATATGGACTCAATATGGAACAACAGCATGCTTTCACTCTGGTCGCTGTTCATGCAACCATTTGTAGTGGTCAACAACAGCCATTATACATGTACATGGGCGGTGCAGGAGGGACTGGTAAATCTCAAGTCATTAAAGCACTTACTGCCTTCTTTGATGCAATTAATCAATCACGTCGACTGCATTTGTGTGCTTTCACTGGGGCTGCAGCTCGACACATCAATGGTAGCACTTTGCACTCTGCACTGAATTTGTCTCAACTGACCAAAATGACAAAGTCCAATGGATCTCAAAGTCGTGCAGATTTAGTGCAGTATTGGAATGGAGTAGACTACTTATTCATTGATGAAGTCTTGATGATTGGTTGTAAGCTGTTGACTGAGATAAGTGCAGCTCTCTCGCTGGCAAAAGAGAATCCTGAGGCTTTTGGGGGTATCAACTTGATTTTTGCAGGAGATTTTTGTCAGCTACCTCCTGTGGGCTCCACCAGGCTGTACACTGCCTCCAAGATGTTGATGAATAAGGCTTCGCACTCTCAAACAGAGCATGGACAGAAGAAACTGATGGGTTGTCACCTATGGTTGCTGGTAAACACAGTGGTATTTTTAAAACAATCCATGCACCAAGGTGGAGAGAGCAACCGGGCATTTCAGTGAGGAAATTTGTATCCGGTGCGACTACTGGACTTATCCGGAGCTCCAAATTCTTATGACGTAAACCAGCATGACTGGACAAATGACATAAAATGGACAAGCCTGGTATCGAACCCAGGACTTCTAGCGTGCATCCATACACTACTCGCCCGTTATGCCAGGGGGGGGGTACCCCTTCCCTGATGGTTTGGGAGATCACTTGATCCCTTCCTCCAACATTCAGGAACTCTTGAACCATCTGCGATTTGGAACCTGCACTGCTGCTGATAAAGCACTTTTAGATACACGCCTGATTCAGAACTTATTCCATCAAGATCTATCGTTGACTGTATGGCAATCAGCCCCCATTATCTGTGCTTCAAATGCAGTGAAGGATGCTTTGAATTGGTGTGCAGTGAAAACTTTCGCAGCACAGAGGAATCTGACTCTCGCCACTTATGATGCCACTCATGAATTCAAGAATCAACCAATACATGACACCACCCTGAATGATTGGCTCTTGAACCTCGCATCAGATTCTCAAACAGCATACACTATTGGCCGTCTACCATTGCTGCCTCAGATGCCAGTTTTGGTCTGTGAAAATTTCGATGTTGCTGGCAGTATTGTAAATGGTAGCGAGGGCACTGTACAGTCAGTATGCTATACCATGAATGACAATGGGCAGCATATGGCTACAAGCTGTGTAGTCAGAATAGAAGATTCATGTGCTGATCCTTTCACTGATCTTCCACCTCATGACTGCGTGATTTTGCCAAAAAAAGTGACCATGAAAGTTTCCCACCCATGCAGCGGCGAAATGACTAGTGTAAGGCGATCCCAACTTCCTTTGCTGCCAGCATTTTGCATTACTGACTACAAATCTCAGGGGAGGACTCTACCCAAGGTTATCATTGATTTAGAAAGTGCACGCTCGATCCAGTCTGCTTATGTAATGCTTTCACGAGCTACAGCTCTTGAGAACTTGCTAATTTTGCGCCCTTTCAACTCCAGATGCATTATTTGTCACATGAATGGAGATTTGCGCAAGGAATTGTCCCGTCTACAACTGTTGGAATGTGACACCATCTTGCGCACCACATCCCAAAGCTTTAGACATACAGAAGTGGTGGAATTGAAGGCAGAATTGTCCGCCAATGTCCACTCATCAGGTGTGCATTCTCATTTCTTCATGGCACATGCCTTTGGAACCTTTTCCAACCTAGGGCAAGTGTCCACACCCCTTCATGATCTCATGCCACGGAACCCAAAAAGGCGTTGAGTTGGGTTGACCCAATCAACAGTGGTTCCTATGTAGGCTTAGGTTTGTCATGCATTCCATTCCTGAAGGGGAAAGCTGACTGATTCACATGGCCCCTAGTCTAGCCGAAATCCAATCCAATCCCCTCTCCCTCCATGTGTTTTCAGGCATGCAACCTGGTATTCCACCACTATTTAAGTTGGTGACATTGCTGTTCAGCGCCGCAACTGCTTTCTCTTCAACATCGGACTGCTTGTTCTATGGATTCAGCAATCATCTCTCATCTTCTCGCTCATGCCAAATCTGACAACTTTCTTGGTTCAATTGATGCTGCCACTTTGAGCTATAAGAGTGCAGCCTCCACCAATGGTCAAACCCTTTGTGGATCTTGGGTTTCTCACACTGACCGGAATGTGCTGGCCGAGTGTAGCTTCTTTGGTGTGATCTCCAATGCTGAAGTGGGGTTTTATGGTAACCAACTTGCTGCACCCTTTACGGCTTGGCGTGAACAGGGGGTGCATTTTATCTGATTATTTTGGAGAGTTTTGGTCTTAGTGGCCTCCTTGGCAGTGTGCGAAAGTCAACACGACGAAATACCTGATGAATCTTGGGATTCCTCCTTTGGCACCATGCTCTATCAAAAAGTTATTTGCCGACCAAATCCATGCTTTGAATTGAATTAAGAATGCATCAGGTTTAAGTATTCACTCTGACGGTAATGTCCTGCATTTCGTGGTGTGATAGAGCACTGCTGACTGCCTTATCAGAGGATATCATTGAAATCAGAGAGAATGAGTTTGGATGGGCTTACTTGGATGACCAGAATGGACCATACTTTCGGATTTTGCACCCTATGTTTTTGGAAGGCCGCAGTAGTCCAGTGAAAGAGTCCAGGAAAGTGAAAGTGTCTCTGGCATTGGAAAAGGGTTCATGGTTTAGGTCCTGTTGTGATGTGAATTCAGTTTGATGTTTGGACCCTCCACTTTAGCTGAAGATTCAGAGGGCAGCACGGGGGCCATTGAACACGCTCTACCTTCTGTGTTTTCCCAGCCTCAATGGGACCCGGAAGGCAATTTTCGCTGAGCTTTGCCTTCAGTCACAACACAGAAGGACTTCAAATTTCATGTGGACGTTCATGCCTTCGATGACAATGGACTTGATGTTCCCTGCAATGGTTTGGACTTGCTGTTCACGGAAGGTATGGCGGTCATCAGCACGGTTTCCCTGCATTTGTGAGTGTTATTTATTGCTACACTAAGCTACCAATCCTTAACAAACAAATCATTTGTTCCAGCATGCGAGCATGCAATACCACTAAGGGCGAAATTCGTTCTTTTCAGTTGAATTGGACAGCTCTTCAAGTGGTTGGTCAAACCAAAGCGTCAGCCACTGACCCGTTGGCTGTCTCTTCCTCCACCAAGAAATGCGCTGCGGATTCAGAGCTTCCTGGTCCTGTCAAAAAGCGTGGTCCATTTTTCACTAGTGGCTCAATGCACGGTGAAAGTTCCTCCCACACACTCTCACATGCTGGCAATGGGTGCACAGACAACTTGGTGGTCAAAGAGGAAGTGGATGTAGAGGTGCGCACAGTTGAAAAGGTGGAAAAGGGTAAAGGAAAAGAGGAGGATGTGTTCATGTGAGGCATTTCGGTTGAATGGTGGTCTGAAATCTGACTGACTATGCCTGCAGGAGTTCGATCACCATCGGTGCTGACGTGAATTTGAATGGTGAAGCAGTAAAGGAGAACGGATGGGATGATTAACTGGTACTGCCACTCGCAATGATGTTCGCTGTACATGTTTTAGCTGTTCGGGGTTTTCTGATCTAGTTACTTCATGCCTCGATTTCAAATATATTGTCATCATTGCGACTGAACATTGCGTTCACCACCGTTTGCCTTTTGCATGCTCAATACATCATGCATTGCCAAGTGTGGACGGAAGAACTGCTGGCACAGCTAAGTGCCCTTGACTCTGTGCAGTCCCAAAACCTTGTTGGCTTTGGATCGGGTGTCATCTGTTCCTCAAGCTGCGTGAGCTCACACCACCATGGGTTCATTTACGTGAGCCCATTTCCCGTGCACAGCACATGCGATTACGACTTTGGTCATTACTTATGTATCCAGTGGCCCGCCTGGTCTCTTGGACTACCTGCCCATCAGACGGAATCGGCCCATGAAGAGATTCGCCGATAGTGAGTACCCCTTGACCTGAGGTTCAAGTTATAGGTTCACTCTTGGTACCGGTTCCTGGCAGATGACACAGTGCTGGTATAACCTTCCATTGCTGTTCAACAGGCATTAACCTGTCTTCCATTCTGACTTTAAATTCCGTTCAGATGGGAGCCCTTGTTCCCCCAGCCCAAGATGATGCACATCTTTGAAGAACCTCAAGGTCAGGGGAGCTCGCACTACCATACGTTGATTAGCGTGTCCCCGATTATCCAACCCAACCCGATTATGTTACGCTGCATATACACTTACCAGTTTGAGCATCACCTGTCTATCTGGTTGTCCACCCCGTGTTTTCCGCCCAGGTGAGTGCCACATTACATCTCCGAACTCTGGAGGTCCTGAAGATTGACAGAGAAAACTGCTCATTGGTTCTGGCCGTCATAATTTTCGAAGAATGCCAAAGACGCGGCGCTTCTCATTACCACACCTTGGTGTTGGCTATGCCTTTCAGGAATGTGCTGGTCTCTCCATCATATCACCATAGTCTAACTATTTTCCAACTCACAGTTACCAAAACACTACCGAGAGTAAACAACTGCGATTGAATGTGTGAATCAATGGTCACCTTCCGTGTCCTCTTTATGTGGCTCAATCAGACGTCCTAGTCTCTGTATTGATTGTAATCTCTGGATCGTTCGAAATACATTTAACTTAAAAAGCTTCGGCAGTCCGTGATGGTTTCCTTTCGTTATATTCTGATCATCCTTTCCTCTCTGAAACACTGCCGGTTCCAGAGTGACTTCTAAGTGCACTGCAATGCTTGCCTGGATGTGCAAGGAGTAGCGGGTATTGCCACTTCAGGCGGCGTCCATCAGTTATTCCTGCTACTCTGTAGCAGGTCATGGAAGCATAGACTGAATGGCCATGCACAATTATTGGTTATACCCCCTTTTTACCTCAGCTTTCTGACACACCATATTAGCTCATCATGCTTACCATCAGCTAAGCACTGGAAACCTCCTTGTCCATGTCCACATGCTCTACAACCTGGTCCCCTCGCTTTTTGACTATTCCCTTTTGTACTCCGTGTGCATCACTCTTTATGCTATCAACCCTAATCAATCCCCCCCCTCTTTTGAAGCCTGCTGCTGGGTTTCAATGACATCCACCAACAATTCCCCAACTTGTTCACAATCTTGCGATCACTTGAACATCTCTCTTGATTTGAACTGCTTGTGCTGTGTTGGTTTCATGGTTTACTCAACACTGTGACTTGTGGATACACCCTGCATGAACATTTGCATATGATTGTGTTTGAACATATTGTAAATGACAGCATTTTAGCATTATTGAATCATTTGCCCCGGAGTTTTGCACCCACTGTTGCACGCTACCCACCTCTGACCATCAAAGATGATTTTTAGAGCAGAAAGAGTTATCACCAAACACAAATGAGCAAACAAGCATCTGAGGACAATAATATGCGGAGTCAGCAAACCAGAATAGGTACCTTAAACCCGGGTTCATTGTCAGCACAAAAAGTGAAAGAAGGGTTGGGGCCACTAACCACCAAAGTTGTTCTAAAGACAGACGACATGGTTAATGACAGAGGGCAAGGATGAGATCAGAAGAAGTGTCAATCGGGTACAAGACAATGGTAAAGGGATCAAGCTGAATAAAATAGCGCACTCAAAATAGAAGAAGAAAGAGCAGAGTGCTCAGCAAGTGCCAGGCTATAAACCAGCCAATCGACAGAATTTCTTGTGAGGATGAGAAAAGATGGTTGTGATGAAAGCCAAGGCTCTCAGGGTGTGCCAAGACAAAGTATGTAAACTCCTGTTCACTGAAATCCCAATTCTCCATTCCCCTTTAAAGCCGAAAGCCTGGCCATTGCATCCAGCAGACACAAGGCATGAAGGCTGACAAAGGCATGAAGCCAAAGGCCAAGTCATTGCATGCAGAGGATGCAAGGCATACAGACTGAAGCACAACAGTAGGCACGAAGGCAAGGAGGCCCAAGCATCCAGTGGGACATGAGTAAAAGGTCAGGCCGTTGCATGCAGCGGACCAAATGAAGAAAGAACGCAATTGGGTTGACGCATAGTACAGTCACAAGGGAAGTGAGTAGGTGAAGGCAATCTGCTCAGTGGGCATGAGACAAGAAAGAGGGCATAAGTAGATGCCAATGCACCAAATGGGCGCACTATAAGAAAAAAGAAAGCACGAGGCCAACGTGCCCAGCAAGCGCAACACAAGAAAAGGAGGCATGGTGAGCTTCCAGTTGGATGGTTTCTCATGGCCACCGGGATGAGTGGTGGGTATTGCCTTTTTGGAATGATATTGTAATATAACTGATGAGCGCCGCCTGAAGCGGCCGGTTTGCATGTTTATATGTCAGAAAATCGTGAGATCGATCAAAAGCACGAGACTTGACATTTAAAATGCCAAAATTTGATGTTTAAACGTGAATTTTGGCATCTAAATGTTGTGATAAATTGTTTATGGCGTTTTTTGATATTATTGAATGTGTTTTTATACCCCTCAAATGCTCTGAATATGTTTTTAATAACTTAATAAATGTGTCATAAATGCTTCCTACAGCATCAAAATCGTCAAAAATCCGTCTCATATAACACATAAAGTACCACCACATCTGACCAATGTATTCTCATCGGCTGTTGGGTAGTTGTTGTAAATAAACGCCATGAAACGTTTCCCGGGCATTTAAACGATATACGGGATTTTTCCGACATATCACGTGATGAGTCACGTGCCCGTCACTATGATGATGCTTGAGGTAATTGATTCCAGCATGGAGGTCCCAGGACTTTTTGGACCCCGGAGCCCCCACAGCTCCTGGATGCCCCGTTCCTTCCGTACATTTTGTTCCAAACATTTGCATTTAGACCGCTGAATCACCTTTCCTTCTAGCCGAGCTTTCGAAACTCGCGCAAGCCCCGGCCGAGTACACTTCTGTGAAGAGCAAATCAAAGTGCCTTTCAGGCACACGGGTTGGGATGCAAGAATCCTTACACAAGCACCTGAGAGAGGCCAAGAGCCGATTTATTTGGTTAAGGGGCTCCCCTGGGATGGGGAAGACTGCGATCTCTATGAGTGTCGCATCCGCCCTTGAGGAAGAGGATATTCTGGCAGCGTCATTCTTTTGGGACAAGAACCAGACAGGAACAGGCTTGGATTCTATCGAGCAGTTCCCCTCTACCCTTGCCCACCAACTTGCGTCCTTCAATAAAGACTTCAAAGCGTCGCTTATCAGACACCTTCAACACCCGGCTCTGGCCCTAGTTCAGGATTTCCCCCTAGAAAAACAAATGAAGGCACTGATTATTGAGCCGATGCGCGACCTGGAGGACACGCTATCTTCAGGCAAGTTCATCATCGTCTTGGATGGTCTTGACGAGTGTGGGAATCATGAAGCGCTTGAGCGTCTGATGAAGCTGGTACTTGCCCTTCAGGAACTGCCACCGTCATTTGCTGTACTAGTTAGCTGTCGTCCTGAGCCAGGGGTCATTTTAGCCTGGTCTGATGCCCGAACCAAGGGTCTTGTCGTACCATGTGAAGATGTGGATGAGATACCGTACGATGATACTTTCCGTACAATCTGCGTTATGGTCCAGGAAGGTCTTCGGGATCTCATTGATGAATCTCCATGGAAACCAATAGAGGGAGAACTTGACGCTCTTGCGTGGGCTTGTCGCCAGTTGCCTGTTGTGGCATCTATCCGGGTTCGCGACGTTCGCCTGCAGACACGGCGTGGCCGCACCCTACAGTTGGCATTTCAGAACTTGATCACTCTTGCTGATGCGCCTGCCGACTTCAACTGGGAGTACTTGCGAATACTTCGACAAGCCTATATGCTGGATTCACTTGAAATTCCCCCAGATGTAGCCAAGTATCGCTCAGTGGTGGGCGCGATTGTTGTGGCGCGCAAGTCGATGAATGTGTCCCTTATATCGCAGCTTTTTGGGATAGCCGAGCATGAGATCCGTGCAATGTTGGAACCGATCAGCCCAATAATACATCTTCCCTCACGAAACACGGAGCCTGTCAACTTCTATCATGCGACGGCAAAAGAGTTCATAATGGGGGATCCAATTGGCGAGGAGAGGGACGAAGTATTCTTCATCAACGATGTAGAAGGATACTCTCTTGGATTGCCGCTCCTTCGACTTTTCAATAGCCGTTGTGAGCGAAACGCGTTTGGGGTACCCACCGATCTTCCTTTAGGAGATGGACGAAAATGGGAAGGATTTATAGTGAAAGGCAATGACGATTATGTCCGTTCCTACAATTTTTTAGAGCATTTGGACCCTTCGGAATTCTTTTCTGAAGAGTCCAATGAATTACAGAGCGAGTTTGATTTGTTCATCACGCGAAACTTGTTGACATTAGCGCAGTTGCAACCGCCCTTCATCCAAATTCCCGGAGGATTTCGTAAATTCGGCGTAAGTCGAAACCATTCATCTCATGTTTCAAGGAAGTGATGTCATTTTTGATAGCATCACAATTCAATCCAAGCTTTGGGAGATTTGGAGCCAGCAACCAACTATATCGCCAAGCATGGGCCATCGTATCTCTATCGATCGTTCCTCCCTTTTGCTTCACTCCCATCATCCATTTACAAATTATACGGTTCTCTCTCGGACCCTATCCGGATCTTCTCCATTTTTGGCGAGTTCTCTGGTGACACCATCCCATTAAGCGAGGATTTACTCAGCGCCCAAGAGGTTATGCAAGCAAAGTTGAGCGAACTACGTTTACCTGAAGAGATTAACGAACCGGGAATTGAAATGGTCAATTACGAAGCTGAATTTCACGAACCTGATATTCGTAATGCCATTGTGGCATGCGCTGCACTCTCCCTTGATGGTTGCTATGTTGCGCTTGGGTTTGGCAACGGTATTATTGAAGTTGTCGATATTGAGAATCAATGTACGGTCTGCCGATTGCAGCACGATCCAGCCAATCCCCCGATCTGGATCGAGTTTGTCCATGGCAGCCACCGAGTTGCTACTGAGGACATTGATGGAAGTGTCACAGTCCTCGGCCATGGCATGACCCCCATGAAATTGGGCACTCTTCCCACTGGTCCCTATTCTGCTGGAACTGCAGTATCAGATAATGGGTTATTTGTCATACGAGTCCCACGAAATTTCGACAACCCGTGGTACGACAATATGATGCTCATATCTGTCTTTGAGGATCCATCCATTCAGCTCCTCGCCTCGCCTCCCTCCCCCTCGTCCCCCTCTTCCCCATTTATTCATGTCGGGTTGCACACTCCTCACCGTCGAACGCTTGGGTTCTCACCAGGGGCACAATATATTGGTGCTTTTGATGGGATCCGAGCTTTCACCTGGTCAACGAGGTCGTGTGAATTCATTGCATCTTATTGCGTGACGGAGTCCGATGCTTGGATTATTAGGCCCAGTATCATCCCTCCAAGTGGCTCATATCTCATCCCTGATCCTATATTCACTCAAGCCACCTCCCCTCTAGTAGAAGGCAAGATGGCTTATACACTTCATTCCGAGGCGGATGCGGGACTTGATTCAGAAGACGAGTCCTGGATCGAGTGTCCATTTTACGACCTCTCGCCAAGCATCTCAAGAAGAGGAACCCTGCCCTCCAGTGTCCATTCATCTGTTACAGGAAGAACCCCGTTAATCGAGTCCTCATCAGTGTGGATTAACGGCAGTGTAGAACTCATGGTTCCAGTGGACTTTGAACCCCATGAAACCTGTGCCTGGTATGGTGATCGAGTACCACCTGATGTTATGGGGCTCTACCGCCCTCAGTCCAGCAGAGACGGAACTCGATTTCTACTCCAGGGTCAGCGAAGAGCTCCAATTGTTGTTGATATCAGGCAAATTCGTTTGCCTTTGAGTGGTTCGCCTTCGAGTGGTTCGCCTTCGAGTGGTTCGCCTTCGAGTGGTTCGCCTTTGAGTGGTTCGCCTGTCCTGTGGATTTGAGTGGGATGTGAGATTCCAACATTCCGGGCTTGCCTCGTGTTTCGCGTTCACGGGGGAGGGATGTCCCGGAAGGTAAGAGGGATTCATACATGCAAGTCGTTATCTTTCCACTCAACTTTCTTTATTACTGTAATTCCATTCTGCGTGTTCAACTTACAGCCGCTCATCACTTATGCGTCCAAACCTTGGGAATAGTCGTGAATTAAACCGGCAGGTCTCGCCGGGGGAATGGGAAATGTGGTGGGATACTTCTCTAATTGAAGCATTCGCTCTTTCCCGAATTTTCTACTTAATATCTGTAAATCATCAACTCGGTAAGAATTGCACGTGTACTAGCGACAGTTATAACCTAGTAGTCAACGAGCCGGACGTTTCCCTGCGCCGTGGCCACTGCCATCATACCGAACGGATCACCAAGCGATAGGTACGGGTCAGAGTCCTAGGTGTCAGGTCCAATGAGCTCCCACAACACCCGCGGGTTGACCGAACCGAACCTCCTCTTCCGTGGAAGCGACACTTCTTGGATCACGGGGTATTCGGAACCACAGAAGGCGCAACCTCTGTTGCTGGAGTCATTGCGGGATCACGAACCATCGGTGTTGCGTCGGACTGGGTGAGCACTCCCACAGCTGGGAAAGTCGAGTGCCGTCCAGAAAGTGTACATGAAACAATATCTCAGCGTTCACGCTAAGCGAGGAACTCGACGATGTTATCGACCTTTGAATCGAGAAGGAAAGTTGTGCTCTCTATTGCCGCAAGGAATGCTAGTGTCCGAGGCAGTAAATAAAGCAAGGCTATGCGCGCAGCAAGCGGCTCAGAGATGCCTTCGTACGAGTGGGTGTAAATTGATCGCCGAGCACATATCCCAGTGGTCGAGACTTGCAATTACTGGTATCAAATGTGAAAATAATATACGACCAGATCAAACGTGAGCCACCTGCACGAAGCAAGAGGTGGAGATTTATCAATATCGGCTCGGAACAAATGAACGAGCCCCAAACATACCCCTTCGCTGGAAAGAACAAGTTCAACCGGCTGACGACGCATACGGCGACATCCCAGGGTTCTGTCGTTCGTTCCGTCGATGTGAGGAAGAACTAACGACCTTCGTGGAGAGTAGTCCATTATATGGAATTAGCTTAAACACCTGGGACGTAGGGTTAGTAAATTAAGATTGCACGGGATATGGAAACGGAATCTGCCAAAATGCTGTGACGTCCTGAGCCAACTTCAACCGTGTTCTCGTATGGCCATGCCCTTCGAAGGCGAGATTCAATAGAATATATCTATGCCGTCAAGTTTCCAAACACAAAGTCAACCGCGTAGATTCACGGGAGCTGACCAATGATCCCAGATGCTACGAGAATGTTTATGAAATCGACGCCGGTCGCGAAAATTCGTGAGGTAATGTGCCTAGGTAGGGAACGATCGTGGATGAATACAGCAGTCAGCTGCTTCTGCACTCGTATCTAAGCTCGGTACAGAAGCAATGCAACCGGGTTAGGTGGCCGTGCTGCAGACGCCTCCATCGCGTATGCATTCCCATGTCCAACAAAGGGCCGGCATGGAACACTCTTGCGTTCGGCTTTCGAACAACTGCCGACTTCGAATGTAAAGGTCCACCCAAAACAGTAGATTAACTTGCCTCATATTAAAGCTCACCCTTTGCGGGCACATGGAATCTGGGGCTGCATTATTTAAGGCGCGGTTGGATGGCCTGACCTTGACCATAAGGGGTGATCGAAGACGGGAGGAAAATCAGGGATGAAAAAACCTAGCAGTTTACGTGACTCGCAACGCTGTTGAGGTGCCCGGCGTTTGGAGAATGGATAGCACATGTTATTCGCACCAGGTGCACAACTAGATGGTACCGTGCGCCAACTAGAACTGGAATGAGTTCGCGGAGGGGCTAGGCACGGGCTTGGAGAATAATAAGGACATGTTTTATTCCTTCCCGGCAGGAAGGCAACCCCTAACTAGGCTGTATGGGTTATTACTGCGGGAGGGACATATGCAGGCTAGGTGACGCACGTGGGTTGCCGACATCCGATCTGGAGACCAAGCTACTCCGGCTCTCCGTGTACAAATGGTGAGTATGTTGCAATAGACCGGATTGAATCACCGAGCGTGATTAAGACGTTGGGCGTGCGCGCGTGCGGATGGCGCGTACTTGTGGTAATTTGAAATAACTACGACGTAATGGCTATTTCCATATGCGGTACTTCCATTTCTGACCCTATTCAATGGGAATTTTTAGTGCTTGAGCCGTAATGGAGAGTCGTCATCAAGGCGTAACTTCAGGATCCCAGGTAAGGATAATCCCACGGAAACGACTCCGGGTGCGTCACGTTGAAGCTTTATGAGGCATCACGATGTCCACATGTTTCCTGAGCAATAGGGCACCCTACGGCAAAGCGAAGCCAGCTGGAAGCTAAGGTCCTCGCCCGAAGCTCGATCGATCTGGCCATGCAGAAAGAGATCGATAATCGGCATCCCGAACCAACGTACGCGATGCGATACATGGACTTTTGGCTGGCAATCAGATACGTTGCCACTGAGTGAAACCACAAGAATGTGCAACGGAAAACGATATATTGATGCTATGCCACCATCTCCCCATTATCGTATCGACAGCTTATCATCAATGGAAAGTTGATAGACAGCGGCCGCAGACCCACTCTTTGCCTTTCCCAGTCTAACTGCGGGCCTTGATCCTCCGCTCCAATTATAGGCGCGCTCTCAGTGGCTGCATCTCAAAGTTATGCGTGAAGGTAAAGCCTCCATGGTACGTAAGCCTAATCAGCAACTTTAATCAGTCATTAAGAGATCCAAACAAGGAATGTCATCGGTTATGACTTTAGATCGAGCAGAAGTCCCCTCGCCCATGGAATACCGAGAATTGCAGGGTTGGCCCACTGGCGTATGATTAAAAGAATGTGTTACTGAGCAACAGATGGGTTGTCCACTTGCGGAATGGTTTGTCGTCAGCGATTCGAAAACCGTCTGCATTTCGTTTCGAAGGTCGGGATCAGGTTCGAAGCAGGAAGTGAGAATACCAGGGTCCGTTGAAAAGGGGGTGAATGGTGGCTTTGCAGTCCCGATGGCCCATATAAGGGCATCGTTCTCAACGGTAGGATATGGCCGCACACCGCGAAGTATCTGAGCACAGTGCTCAGCTCCCAGAGCCGAAAATGCGTTGGAATAATCGTACCTCCATGGCTGTGCATCCGAATGCCCAGACGTCACTCTTCATGTTGCGGAAGGGTTCTTCGGCCATGCACACTTCAGGTGCTAAGTATCGCCAAGTCCCAAACTGACCCATGCTTGTGGCGTCGATATATGTAGATTTGTCCGAAATAATGAATGAAAGACCAAAATCGCATAACTGCGGCGTTTTCTCACTGCTCACGACAACATTTTGCTGACGATGAAATTACTGATTATGTCGATGTGTGACATGACAAGGACTCACGGGTTTGATATCGCCATGCACTATCTCCCGGGAATGGAGATATGCTAAGCCATGAGCAATCCCGCAGATCTAAAATAGCGCACATGAGTAAGTGGTCCATAAGGTGCAGAGGTCGATTCACCAAGGCTTGGCGATCAGCGTCCTGACGGCGCCGCAGATAAGATTTGACATTCCCTTCGTCGCACCAGTTTGACACCAAGCCCGGACATAGATCTTCCGTGCTTTCAAGGTATGATATCCATCCATGAAGCTTGACTATATGTGTATTCGTCAATTGGCGCCACACCCTCATCTCGCGGACCAGTCGCTTGAAGGATTGCGAATGAATGGCAGCGGATTGTCTCTCATGTACGAGTTAACATACGTGAATAAATTCGCTGACAGGATCACGATCGATATATCTGAAAGCCTTGATGCAAACCTTTTCCTAGAGAGACGCGTGAGAAGGCAGTTCGAGCACGAATATTGATTTGGGGTGTTTATAATGTAGATACGAACCGTGTTGTAGGTTCCCTCGTATATCACCCCAAAGGACCATGCTCGATTATGCGGTATAGCTACTTGACCGTCAAGAATCCTGTCGTCAACTTGCAGCAGTCTCTCCTTGATATTTTGTAGTAGTTCATCGACGGGTGACATGGCTCAATATTCACCATGTGTGAAGGGATAAAGACAGTGAAGAGATACAAGGGAGAAGGTGTAGGGTGACCTAGCAGGACAGAAAGAGCCGGTCTGCCACAGGGCAGCACTAAAGCACCCCTTGTTTAGTAATGGTAAATAAAAGTAGACTACCAATTGCGGGAAATGACTTCCAGGTCAAAGGGTTGGTCTTTGGTGGGAAGTGAGGATGCTGGGTAGACAAAGGTGCGCAATTGGAAATCAAAGGGAATGGGGGTACATAATCGATAGTGAAGCAACTATTTGGAAAACTGCGGAGGCAACTGAAGGCCTCGAATCGAGGCGACCCTTTCTAGAGGACTTGGCACGTTGATTTGTGAATTCACCAAGGACTCGCTATCGAGTACATGGCTGATAAGGAGATAAGGACTATCGAAGATCGGATGCAAATTATGGGGCGAGGGAACAGCAGCCAAAAATGGAAGCGGATCCAGCTCGCGATCTCAATTTCAATGAAGTCTACTTCTCTAAATCTAGATTACAGATTACATGCTCGCCACTGGACCTACAAATTGGATGGTGGGACCTTCCTGAACCATTGGATACAGCGAATGTGCGTATAATGCTGCTGATCCGTGCTCCTTAGGCCGGCACTCCACTTCTCTGCCGCTTCTCTACATCGTACACACCATACGCCGACCAAGATGGCAGATCAGACATCAGCATCGTCCCCTTCGAGCAGCCTTGTTGTCAGGGATTCGGGCGGAAGGATCGTGTTCAATATCAGGGACGGGCGGATTACCACCCCTAACCTAGTCCTACGCGGCAGAGTAAGCAGAACGCAGTCAACTCGGGTAGGTTTCCCTCATTTGGTGGGGCATTTAGGGCGGAGTGGTTGGCGAGAACGGCACTCTCGTAGAAGTCATACACGAGATTGAATTATCGCAGGAGGTGGTGGAGCGGGCAGTGGGGCAGGACGATGCAGAGGCGGCGGAGCATTTTGTTCAGGTTTGCGATTTGTTCGCCGGCATCAGCATGAGGCTAACTCTCGTCACAGCGCGTGGAGCGCCAGTTAAATGTTATTTGCTCTTTGGATCATATAAACATTGCTCGATTCCAGGGATGGACGATGATGCTTGAGGATGAAACTTGGCTTCGCGCGAGGGTCACGTATGCTAGTTGTGAGGGAGGGAAAGTTATGGATTATCTCAGCGCCAATGTGAATGCGGATCGCCAAGAACTGGTACGTCCTGACAGGTGCACCTTCTCCAGAGTGTCGTGTTTACCCAAGTACTTCATCAGGTTCTTGGAGTATCTCGAGGGCTTTCATATCTTCATTCCAAGGATATCGTTCATGGAAATCTCAATCCGGTTCGTATACCTTGCCCTACTAATCGAGAACCACTCGTTCATCACCCCCCTAGAGTAACGTACGTATTGATTACGGCGCCAATGACACGCGTCCTATTCCTCGGATCAGTGGCTTTGGATCCTCGTACGCCATGACAGATGCCACCCCTGTCCGCCTTATAGTGGAGGGCGCGTGCTCTGTACCTTTAAGGTATGTCGCCCCAGAAGTCCTGGCCGGACGTGGAGTCCCATGCGACCAAAAGGGTGACATTTGGTCTCTTGGATGCACATCCTCACAGGTATTCCACGCCTCTTGTGTACCAATTGGGATCTCACCGTTTTCAGATGCTCCTCGGCAGACGTCCCTACGAGAGTATCCGCAACGACTTCCACGTTCCATTCGCGGTCGCGAGACAGGTGGCTCCCTATACGTGGGACTATTCGGACCCTTACCATCAAGCACTTCAGAGCTGCCTCACACGTGATCCTTCACAGCGTGCCGCCGCCAGTGACGTTGTCGAAAGAGTAGGGTAAGTTGTTTCCTTTGTTTATTATGTGAGGTGGAACTGAAATTCGGCAGATTGGTCGTTGCCCTTTCAGAAATCCGGCGCCAGCTTCTCGAAGTGGAAGAACGCAATCTCACGGGTAGAATCCAAATTATTGGAGATATATTTGAAGACGGCTCTGGTGTACGATCTAGAGGGATTTGTGATGGGGTGTGCATTATTTAGGCTCATTCGTGCTTGACAGATCACGTCATTTCTGATAGGAGGGCGTTTGTGTCCGATATTCCAATAACATTTCAGCGTCGGATGGAAATGGGATCCTCGATGGACAGGTGCGTCAGTGGCGTCTACATCTCGAATTTCTAATTTTCGTGGGCGCATAAAGATCCTTAATATCAAAAGGCACGTACGTATATGGGGCCGACTTGTCCATCGAAATATAGAGGCTTTTCGTGGGTGGGCTTTGAACGTGGAAGAACGCAGACTTCGTGTTGGCTTTATCTCAACCTGGCGAGAGAGCGTGGCTGTGAGGCGCTATCTGCAGCAGAACCCAAGTGCAGATCGGCGTGTATTGGTGAAAAAATTTGCATTATTAACTTGGCAACAATCTGACGCATTCCTACAGGTGCGTGGCGTTGCACAAGGCCTTTTTTATTTGCACTCGGAGGGGGTCGTACATGCAAATATTCACCCAGTCTGTCTTTGATACTATCTTTTTCAAAAATTCCGAAATATATTAGTCCAACAGGACAACGTTATGATTGGGAATCAAGGGGATCCATATTTGCGTGGCTTCGACTTCTCGTATGATCATCGGTTCGAGGTGCCTCCATACGGTTATTATGATGGCCTACATCATAATGGTTTACAACGATTCATGCCTCCAGAGTTGCTGGATGGTTCGATACGAGTACCCACGCAAACGAGCGATGTCTGGGCATTTGGATGCGTTTCTGGTGAGGTAAGATTCGTCGCCGTGCTGATGGCGCGCTGTGCTGAGTACCTTTATAGATACTCACTAGCCAACCTCCCTATGCTGGGCTGAGTGATTCGCAAATAATTGCGGTGGCGAGCTCTGTCACACCCTACAAATGGGACAGCGCAGACTCGTTTGAAAGTGCGATTACACGATGCTTCCTCTTCCCTGCTCAACGGATTAGTATGAAAGTCATGACAAGGACTTTTTCTCAATATTATTCTCCCACAGCTCTATCTATCGCTGCACCAACTGCTTCTAGTGGCGTTCCTCCATTCATACTTACCCCCCCACACCTCTCCTCGCAAGATTCATTACGCCAGAGTCCCTCTCCTCCTGCCGCTTCTAGGTACGTCATTCTTTATGCCCTCCCTGCTTTTCCGCCCGCATCTTGACGACACCTCACCCTTGCGGACAGTACGCCCCGAACTGCCACTTTCGCATCTTCCTCACGGTGGGGGTCGCGAAGGCGTGGCCCATACAACCATTCATCATGCCGGTTGTGCCACAATGAGTAAGTAATGCATCATCACTGATTGACAAGTCGAAAGGCCTAATCCTCTGCCAATAACGAAGTCATCGCAAATGTGACCGAAACTGGAGTATCGACGCAAAGTGCTCGAATTGTTATAGACAGGCTGTTCCAGTACGTCAGATCTGTTGGGTTAAGACATGCTTCGCCTCCAAGCTAACTTGGTAGTATTAAAGTGTGTTAGCTGGAGAAACCCTCACCCTAGCCCACGTGGGCGACGTAGTCAATACCATAGAGGCACTTAGCGATGCAGAGACTAACTTCCAGTATGACAGTAAGTGTTGGTATCTCATCGACGATATTGGGCACAGGGTGTTGATGATCGGGTCAGGCCCGTTGTTGATGCAAAACCCACGTTGAGTGCCTATAGAACGTTGGCGTAAATACATGAGGAACTAGATCCTGAACCCCTTATCACCGAGGTCGATACATGCTCTCCATCGACACCATTGTCAACAATGCAACTACTTCTGTGGATGCTTCCATTGATGAATCCCCCATATTATCCATCAGTGCCCCTATCAACAAACATTCCACCTTCTTTCATCAACATTTCTGTCAACAGCCTTTCTTGCGTCCCATTGACAACTATGTTGACAATGTCACTCTTAAATTCTTGACTCTATTCATTGATAACTATACTGTAGTATAACGACCGTTAGTTCATTCCCACGGCCTCCGGGAGTTGCCGGAGGCACCAAATCAATTCAATCATGTTCATTTTCAATTCAATTCCCGCTGCTCCGTAGCGGGTCCTATGTTTTTTTCTTGCCCACTCAATTGTCCCACTAGAAATGGCTGCTGCGCAGCCTTGACCTTGCTTGTGACTAGGGTCCCTGCACCCGGTTGCAACTTTTGTTTGGGTTAAATGACTCAGATGCAACTTGGCCAAAATACTGTACCCGCATGACCAATTACTGGCTGAGGTTCCGAGTGTGACACAGAATAGTCAACCGGCTTCTCCTTGTGATGTGTGACAAGCAACTGGAAGAGGTGGCTGACACCAGCCACAGTGGTGCTGGAAATGTCCAACTGGCAAATTTTCGTGTTGATACATTTTACACCAAAAAAACTACTTCCTTGCAGACGGCTTTTGTTTTCATTGAATTTAATTCGATTTCACACAGCCACTTAGGTGCCGAAAAAAAAATGGTGTGACAAGGATCATTCAACCAGAACGTCAGTGTGATGTGTGACAACAGCCCACTTACAGCCGGACCGAGCCCATTCCCGCTATGTGAGTGTGAGTGCAAGCCCCAACCTCAGCCCTATCCTCCCTGAGGACTCCCTGCTCACCCCCCCACTTGTCCCTAGGCTCCCCTGCACTTGGCCGACTCCCCCACAGCCACACCGACCTCCCTGCCCTGAGTCTGCCTCTGGCACCATGCCTAGCGTGACTCTGCGACATCGCCTACTCTGTCCACTTGGCCCTCACTGGGCTGCTACCATTCCTGCGCCTGACTCCAGCCCAACTCCGAGTCCAGCGCCGATACCATTGTCATCACCACTATCGCAGCCCTACACTGTCAGGGACCGGTCCGGGGTTGAGAGCGTCCAGGTATATCGTCCGGCGCTGAGGGCCCGGTGGGGTATTGAAAGGTTATCTTACTTGTTTTGGGGACGGTACATTCCGTTCCCCCATTCGCCTCAGGCCTCAGTAGGTCCATCTAAACATAAGCTTTGATGAGCTGTATATTCAATGGGGTAGAGGTAAAGGCTACTGGGCCTTTACAACTACTCTGAGGTATATATATGTAATTTACATATCTCGGCACAAATAAATAAAGAAATAACCACATCACTATAATGGGAATTATAGTGAAGTAAGGTTAATCCCTTACAGGTATGAAGCGGGCGCATACAGCAATGGGCCCGGCACAGGCAAACGTCCCTGAAGTGGGAATGGTGAGAAGAAGACTGCTTCTCTGGTTCCCACCCCAGGTATGTTTATATACATGGTGCTTGGGTCACATGAGAGTTGCCATGTTGTCCCCATGCACAGCCCCAGCCACCTGGGTATCCCCATGGGGGATCCCGAAGGGGTCTGCTGCAGGCGTGCGTGCTGGGTGCATCGTGCGTGGGTCATGGGCGGGTCAGTAGTACATCGATCAAGAAAAGTCATCCGTGTAAATAGAAATAGAGAATGATACAGAGAAGAAATAGGAAGAGGGGAAAGTGGAGGGAGGAGGAAATAGGAAGGGGGAGAAGGGGGTAGTGGGTGGAGTGGAGCTGGGTAGAGCCAGGTGGAGCCAGGTGCGGCAGGTGTGCCCTGACATACACCCCTTCATTTATTTATCTATTATTGTTTGTTTTGACCCTTGGTCATTGCTGGCTGCTGTGCAGCCAACCCCGCTCTTTGTGCCCTTTTGCTTCCGGACCCTTCGGCCTTCGGCCCTATTCATTTCCTCTTCCTATATATATCCTGTATGATACACCACAGCACTTTAGCTCTGATATCGATTTGACCATGACCCTCTAAGTCCTGACCCCAACAAGGCAACCCCAGTAAGCCTGAAATGAGGGCCAAGAGACAGCTAGGGGGCACAGCGCTCCTTTAGAGTCGCTGAGGCCAAATGCCCTACCCTCAGGCCTTGTTTGCGGCATCACAGCCATTGCGGCCTATAGCGGCCCGCAATGGCGACCCTCAGTGGCGACCCCGGACCAGTGTCTAACAGTAGTGCAAAAGTGGCATCTTAGCACCTGTATAAATATCAGGATCCAAGTTGACTGAGTGGTCAGTCAACGTTGGCCTTTTGGCAAAGAGGCTCCAGTGCAGTCCTGATCTGGCCAGTCTCTGACACCACCCCAACCTGCTGGTCAATCCACTTGAGGTCAACCAAGAATTTAAACCTGTTCACTGTATTCAGGAACAGGAGTATGAAGTTGTCCCATCGCCATTGATGATGGCCCATTTCAGTGGTGATGAGCCATCTCTGGCCACTAATGGTAACTCCATGTATGAAGCTGTTGGTGTGGAAGGAACCCAGGATGGGTATGTTTCTCCACATCCCAGGAGAAGGAGAGTGATTCTGGCTAGGTAGCCGGAACCACGAATATTTGAGTGGTAGGAGGGGGTGATGCAGTGCCCACTTGTCAGGGCACACCCGCCTGACCCGGGTCCACCTGGACCCACCCGGCCACACCACACCCGCTCCCCGCTGTCCAACCCTCCCCCTCCTCCTTCCTCTGTCTCTCCTCCTCTTTCCTTTCTCTCTTTCTTCCCCTTTCTTTATCTCATTCCTCTCATCTTCCTTTTCTTGTTTATTTCCTTCTATCTACACGGACCACCCTCCTTTGTATCAATGTACTATTGACCCATCTGGCCCACACACCCCGGACGGCTCCCCGCTGTGCCCAGCACACGCGCATGCAGCGGACGCTCTCGGGATCCCCACGGGGATACCCAGATGCCTGCGGCTGTCTCCGAGGGTGACGTGGCACTCGTCATGTGACTCAAGCCGCATGTACATAAATGTACCTGAAGTGGGAACCAAAGAAGTAACCTTCTTCTCACATTCTCCACTTCAGGTAAGTAGTATAGTTTTCCCTTTTAATAACAATAACACATTCTCCACTTCAGTCTAAGTGGCCAGGGACTGCTGTCCCTTCCCGGACCCGCCAGCACGCACGCCCGGTTTGCACCCCGCGAGGGCCCTTCTGCCGGGCGATACATCCGGACCCCCTCTACCCCAGACGCGTCCCTGACATCCCCTCTGTCATATTCCAGATCTTCCGCCTCCCTCTGCCCTGTCCCTATGTCATATCCGTACATACCTGATCCCAAACTGACTCCCAGACCCTCATCCTCATCACCTCCAGAGTCCTCCCTACCTCTGTCTGTTCCGATATTCACCTTCAGACCAAACATCACTCCTCTCGCCACCCTCCTCCTACTCCTCCTCACTCCTCACATCACCTCCACCCTTCTGTCACTCTCCTACCCTACTTCTGTCCACTCCAATACTCACCTTCAGACCTGACACCATTCCTCCTCCACTCCTCTCCCCACTCCTCTCATCACTCTCCTCCCTCTGACCCTCTTCTGCCAAACCTCCAGCAAGTTATGACCTTCCACTGCTGTCCTGTACCCTGTACTTGGACACCGCTTGTACCTTCGCTCTGAGATTCCATCATAGTTCTGACCTCGGACTTTGACTCCACCTTGGCTTTAGTCCAGTGCATTGGTGACCTCATACTATGTAAACACCATTGCCAACATTCCTCGGACTTTCAACCCCACCTCTGTAACCTCCGTAAGCTCCGCAACCTCTGAGCTCCATGGATCATACTCCCCACTTTCACCGCTTGTAATGTATCTTTATGGATATGACAGAATGGTTCAGAGCATCATCCAAGTAATTTGCACTGCTGTTCAACCAGACCAGCGCAATTGGGTACTAAAAGTCCCCCTTGCCGAGTTTTCAATAAACTCGAGTGTGAATAAATCGACAGGGTATGCCCCTTTCAAACTTATCTATGGGATGATGCCACATATGATGGTAGAAATCCCACCAACTTGCCTGGAGTCAGTGCCTTTGCTCAGAAAGCACTAGACAACCTCCAGGGGGCCCACAATGCGATTATAAAAAGTCATGTAGAGCAATTGGTCCAAGCCAATAGGCATAGATGCCCAGATCTGCCTAAGCTGAAGGTAGGCAATTTCGCCTACCTGGCCACAAAGGACCTCAACCTGCCAAAGGGAAGAGCAAAGAAACTCCTCCCCAAATACGTTGGGCCTTATGAAATC